TTTGTAACTGGAATAAATATATAATTCCATATCAGTTCCCATGAAAAGGCCATGAAAAAACATGAAAGCAAGAGAAGCATTATTATTATTATTATTTGATAAATAAAAGCAAGAGAAGCATTATTATCTTATCTGCAATGCAAGTTAGTTGCAAACTGTCAAAGTACAATGCAAAATGATAAAGGAATACCAAAAGTCATTAGTGATTTATGTTAGGGAAGCATGCATCTCGACAATTGAGAAGTAGGAAGGACTAAACTACGTAAAACTCTAATTTCTGCCATCATTTGCACAGAGATGCAGCCTTGCCTGACTACCTTTTGTAATTGCCCCAATAATGGCTTCATTTGCATGGTAAATTCAGCATACATAGAAAAGGGTCTGTTAGGATTTTTAATCCTAATTGTGTGCATTATAATGCATTTTGGCAATTCCATTCCAAAGATCTTTATTTCTTTGTCCCATTTGTTTTGTATATTGATTCAATATCTTCTTTTTTTTTCATATTTATCAAGACATGTTAATGAAAAAATGTAGGTGGGAAACAAAGTGAAAAGAAAAGTTTGGTGGCTGATGTTCTTGTGAGAATATTAGCGTATCTCTATATATGGTAGTATATATTTTGTATATATGTTGAGATTGTAAAATTCTCTTTCCTTTTTAGTCCTAGGGTTAGGATTTCTATATAATCAGATGCATCCTTGTATTACTTTTACAATTGAATATACAAAAATTATTCAGAAATCTTACATGATATCAGAGCCACCACTAGAACCCTAGAAATTGTCTTCCTCTTCAGTCTCTGTGTGAGTTGTGGGTCATCTTCTCCCTCAATCAAATCTAGTTCTCGAAGTTTTGTTAGGTGTTTGTGATACTTGAGTCGCAAGTCATAGAGCACCAGCATCGTGATTGGTATTCGCGAAGTTCTCTCTTTGTGGTCGTGTTCACGAAGTTCGAAGCTCTCTAATCGAAGTTCTCTGATAGATCAAAGTTCTTTTGGCTCTTGCGTGACCTTCGTTTGAGTTCTCATTGTACCAGATCTATTATCGCTGGAATCGCGACCATTCAGGGCTAGAATCACCCATCTGGTTCGCAACTCCTCTCGCTGGTTTGTGACCTTCAGACACAACCTCCCTCTTCCTTGACTTCAGTTTCAGGTTCTCTTGGCATCAGTCTCTCTCTCCTCTGATTTGGTTCTCTCGACTTCAGACTAGTTCTTTCAGCTTCAAAACTCTAGTTAATATTTGTGGGTCAGGGTAAAAAATCTAATTATTATATTTTGACCCCAACTGGTTATTATATTTTACATTTAGACCTAACACTCTTCTAGTTATTACACTGTGGTTTTGGATTTATTGGTTTTACCTCCATCAGATTTCTATATATTAACCTTTAACCCCTGGTTTGGGTATTTTGTTCTATATAAGGTTTACTACATTTTAACCCCTCAGCATTCTGGTTATTATGATGTCTCTGATTGTTGATGAGTGTGCCTTCTGCCATCAAAGGGGTCATTGAAAGTACAACTGTTGCAAGAAGGGATGTTTATCTGCCCTGCAGTCTCAGCTACACTTCTGAGCTTTTACTCAGAGTACTTTTCAGACTCCAGCCGCTTATAATGCATCTACTCCGTCTCCTGATCCTGATTTGGCTTCCTTGAGTGTTTATATTGGTTAACTCAAGCATATTTTATATACCTCCCAGCCATCCCGGTCTAGCTCCGTTGTTTCCTCTCTTCATTCAGGTTTGCTTGGGTCTTTTTCAGATATCTCTTCATCTGTCTGGCTTTTTGAATTTGGTGTTTCTTATCATATGACTTTTCATCCCTCCTTACTTCAGAATTGTACTTCCCCTTCCTTTTCTATTACTATTAATGTCGCTAATGGGTCTAGTATGTTTGTTATATATGTTGGGTCTATCCTACCATTTGACATGTTTGTTATCAGTATTTTATTTATCCTTTATGTTCCTCAGTTATCTGTCAGTTTATGATCTATCAGTCAACTTGATATCTTCGATTTTGATGTCATCATTGGAACCGGGCGTAGAATTGGAGACCTCTATGTGGTGGAGAGCTTGTATCTGCCTATGACTACTTCTCCGACTACTTTTCCTCTTTTTAGTTGGATTCTCTGTTGAGTCCTTTTTATTTGTGGCATTCAAGATTAGGGTATTTGTTTGCTAATAGCTTACAGTCTTTAGCTTAATTAGGTTTATTGGGTAAAGTTTCTCAAAATCAACTTACTGAGTGTTATGTCGTGGGTGTAAACTTGCCAAAATGACAATCTTACCTTTTCATAGAAATACTTCTATTTTTGATACACCGTTTTCTTTAGTTCATATTGATGTTTGGGGTCCTTCTCCTATCCTCACCAAAGGAGGTTCTGCTTACTATGTATCATTTGTTGATGATTGCACCTATTATACTAGGGTTTATCTTATGACTCATAAGTTCGATTTCTACCAGATATACCATACTTTTAAATCTATGATTACCATATATTTTGGGTCTACAATTAAATTGCTATGGTCTAACTTGGGTGAGGAATATTTTAAAATTGAGTTCTGTGAGAGTTTAGCCAATTTAGGTACCATGCACCAAACTTTTTGTATTGATACACCTTCCCAAAATGGTCAAGTTGAGTGTAGACGTCCCCCGAACGCCCCGGGAGGGATGAGCTCCCGTTCTGTTCATTAATGGGGTCATTACAGTTCGGACTTGATTTGTGTCACGGTCCTTAATCTTGAACCAAAGAGTTCAAATCTGGCAAATTATTTTGAGGAAAAAACAGATTTTAGGAAAGAAGTGCCAAACATGGACTGCTTTGCCAGATACAGAGTCGCCACCTAAATATTTTTTTATGGGGGAATTTAGGAAACCCTGACTCGGTGCCGAAGGCCACATGTCCGTCATCACCGGAGTTGTCTCGGCTCGGGAGCTAGGGTACGATTGGGGAAGGTCAGCTATGAGCACCCCCTCTCGCCCGATCCGAAGATCGGCTTCTACTAACCGTGATATCTATTTTTGAAAACGTTATGTGTTCTTATACCATTTATTAGCCTAGAATTACTATGTTATGCGCGCAGCAAATAAGTATAGACTAGATTGCCCAATTTGGAAATAAGTATTGCATATCCGTTTGTTTTGAAAAGCGCTTTGGAATTTGCTACTCGCAAGTAGGCTAAAACACGGATTTCAACGAGTTTTTCCAACTCAAACAATCCAACCTTCACCCACAGGCATTCAAACAGTTTATCTCATATAAGCACTTAGCCACATGGTAAGCATGCTATCATGTTAACATTCACATGCATGCAAGATGCTAAAGCATAAATACTTACATCGTACTCCGTGCCAAAACAATAAACTAGTTAGCAAACATGCATGATCCTAGTTCATGTCATATTGACTAATGCAACACATGCAAGATGTAATTAGAGTAGGCTCGGATAACCTAAGCATGGCATGTGAAATGCAACCAATTGATGCACGTATTCAATTTGGAATTTGAAATACAGATGCAGTTAGCATGATGTACTGAGCCCGGTGTATGCAGGACAGATGTATGAATGCACGCATGCATTGCATAAGGTATGCTAATTTTAAATATGCCCTAGTCTACCATCATAAGCGGGTAAATAAAAGGGAAGAAAGACGTGGGATTGGAAGACATACACACACTCACCCACACTTATTACAGATTTGCCCTCGCGCGGAGGGACCAAATAAATGATACAAATTAATTAACTAAGCAAGCTAATTAAATATTACAAATTGCCTAATCAGCTAA